TTTAAGTATCTAAGTTTAAATAGTATTTATTTTCTTTCTAATCATTCTGCTTTCTGCTTATTGCAAGGCAACATTTTTCATTGAGCATTGACAATTTTTATTTATTATAGTTGACAAATTGACAGTTATTAATGATCACATGTGTCACATTTAATCACAGCTGTCTTGGCAATTCTCTTAGTGGAACTACAGCTATTCCTTGAACTCAATTGACATACAGGAGTTATACTTTCTTGTTTATTTTTTCTTTTTCTATTTCAGGCACCCCCTGTAATGGCCTATCCTGCTACTACACCCACAGGCATGATAGGATATGGAATTGTAAGTATCCTATGTAATAAAAGTCTAATATGCTAAATGTCCGGTCTTCTGGTCATCTGTTCAACCAATCAAAGTGTGATATACAAAGGCCGCTCAACCACTTGCTATGACATGCACTGAACACCAGGGAGCAGGCATTTGACTGGTTGACAGGTCACTATGATGCACACTGACCACCAGGGTGCAGACACTCAATGCAGGAGCTTCCCCCTGGTGGTCAGTGAACTCCCACAGGGGTGTGCTGCTCAGCCAGAAGCTGGGTTCAAGGCTAGTGAGCACATCAGCAGTGGCAGGAGTCTCTCCTGCCTCCATGGCAACATTAAGGATGTGCAACTGCTGGCTTAGGCGTGTTCCCTCTAGGGAGCAGTCCTAAGCCAGCAGTCGGACACCCCCCGAGGACTCCCAGACTGTGAGAGGGTGCAGGCTGGGCTGAGGGACACCCGTTCTCTCTCCCCACTCAGTGCATGAATTTCACGCATTGGGCCTCTAATGTCTATATTTTTTATTTCAGAGAGGAAGGGAGAGAGAGAAGCATCAGTGATGAGAGAGAATCATTTATCAGCTACCTCTTGCACACACCACACTAAGGATCGAGCCCTCAAACCAGGCATGTTCCCTGACCAGGAATTTAACTGTGACCTCCTAGTTCATAGGGCAACACTCAACCATTGAGCTATCGTGGCTGGGCTGGAGTGGTGTTTTGTTTAGTTTTGTTTTGGTTTTGGAATGGTAATTTTTAAAGCAAGAGATGGTTAGTTGAGATTCTATTTTCAGTTAGTCAATAATGAACTAAACTCTGTGTATTAATTAAGCTTCTTGATTCTTCTTTCTTAAAATGTCTCAAATAAAATTTAAGAAACCACAGATAGTAACTCTTCAAAGAATCAGCTATTCATGATGGCATAAGAATTTGATTTGATATACAAAGGCAGTTACTTTGAACTGTCTTAGTCATTTTACAGTTTTAAGTTTCTCTATATCTAAAGCTGGAAAATTTGAAAAATTTTTTATCTAAGTTATTTTGTCTGGTGTACTGTCATAAGGTTTAAATTTTACAACTCATTGTATAGAAAAACCTAAGCTTTTATACAGGCTTTAAAAATGGGCACATTAAAGACTTTCCATACCAAACTAAATCATCTTAAAAATGTTTAGCTGTCAGTCTTATTTGCATTTATAGAAATTTTTCCTTTGAGTTAAAGCAAAAGTAGTAGTTACCTTTCTTGTTTACTTATCCTATATAATAAAGAACTAATATGCTAATTAGACTGGGCAGCTGAATGGCCAGTGGGTGGAGATGCAAAGCCACAAGGCAGCTGGGCCCATAAGGGCCGAGGCAGCTGGGGTTGGGGAGGCCTAGTCTTCCAGGAATTTCGTACATTGGGCCTCTAGTTTTATAATAAGGGAGATGTGAGCCGCATTCTTTAACTTGTTATTTTTCTACTTTTCAGCCTCCTCAAATGGGAAGTATACCTGTAATGACACAACCAACCTTAATATACAACCAGCCTGTCATGAGACCACCAAATCCCTTTGGCCCTGTATCAGGAGCACAGGTATTAATTAATGTGCTACATGTAACTGTTTTGATGTGCTTGGTGTGGAAGGAACACAGTGCTAAAAATGTTCTTTCATACAACTTGAGAAACAAGTTATTGCATTATATCTTTCTCATCCAAGAGCTTTTAGGATTATTGATTATTTGGAAGCAAAGGATAAGCATTATAAATATTAAAGATGGAAAATTCTTGATAAGTTACTGTTGATGCACCTAGAGGACAGTTTTTCTGAGGGTAAGGAACTTACTTTTGTTCATGATTCTGGCATGATCTCCTTCATGAACCCTGAAAACTTTGACCTCAGAGTTCCACTGCCTTGGCATTTGGAGTGCCAGTGCAATTGGTAATGGACTTGCTATTCTTTATTCACTGGGTGCACATAGTTTTACACTTGCTAGTGTATATAGTGTTACAGTGCCAGAATTAGTTGGTATTGATCCAGTCTGAATCTAGTCTCATGTATTTCATAGTCTAGTGAAGCATTAGGAGAACCTTTCATTTTCAGCCTTTTTAAATTTTATTGATTTTAGAAAGAGGAAGGGAGAGGGAGAGAGGGAAGCATCACTGAGAGAGAAACATTGATGAACTCTCTCCTGCATAAACCCCCATTGGGGATCCAGCCCACAAACTGGGCATATGCCCTGAGTAGGAATTGAACCTCAACAACCAAGCCTCACCCGCCAGGCACTTTTTTCAGACTTTTTGAGTATTGAACTCATTTTAATAAATTGGCATCTCGAGGAGTACCAGTAACGAAGTAGATTTTTGAATTTTGTTCTTATTAAGAGATAAAATCCATATATTTTCCCAGGCCTTTTCTTTTATGTTACAGTGACCTTTTCTTCCTGTTCCTTAATCAGTTAAGTACTTTACACCTGGAAGTCACGGTTATTGATGCAGTAATTACTTTTTTATAACTCAGTTAATTTTTATGCATGTTTAAAAAGTCATCTGAATTTAGCTTTAAAGATCATTGTGGGGTTTTTTTTATTCATTTTAATCCTCACCTGAAGATTTTTTTTCATTGATTTTTAGAGAGTGGAAGAGAGGGGAAGACAGAGAAATATTGGTGTGAGAGAAACACATTGATTGGTTACCTCCTACACAAACCCTGACTAGGGCCTGGGCTGGGGAGGAGCCTACAACTGAGGTACAAGCCTTCGACCAGAATCAAACCCAATCCGCAGGCCGACACTCTAGCCACTGAGCCAAACCAGTTAGGGCTTTATGCATCTTTTAAATAAAATGGGTTATGGGTATGTATAGATTTTTTTTCTATTCTGTTTTCTTTAGCAATACTTTTTTGTTGTTAATCATCACCTGAGGATATTTTTTTCCCATTGATTTTTAGAGTAGAAGAGAGTTGAGGGGGGAAGAAAGAGAAGGGGGAAAGGGAGGAACATTGATGTGAGTGGGGCCGGGATTGCATCTGCAACCCAGTTACTTGCCCAGAAATCGAATCAGCGATCCTTCAGAATGGGTACCAATGCTGTATGCACTGCACACTGGCTAGGGCTTACCTGCAGTACTTTTAATGCTGGCATAATTTGCTAAAAAAACAAACTAGATTTTGATAATCTTTTAAGATGTTGATGATTTTCCCAAGTATTTATGTAGATGTTTTCTTGAGATTATGTTTTTCTCATGTTCTTTACTTTTTTTGTTCTTTTATCTTCAGGTATATATCATTTATTTTAAAGAATTAATTTGTTTTTTGGTGTGTGTGTATGTTGTTTTTTTGTGTTTCAGTGAGTTAATGTGGATCTTATCATTGTCAGAGACTAAAGTGATAAGAACTTAAATGTATTTAAGGGGGGAAAAACACACTGTAGTCAAGCTATAAATTTATCAGAAATTACTGACTACAGAAGTTTTTTTCTGATTCAGTCTGAGTGTTGTCTTGCAAGCTCCTGTCTCAGAAACGGAATAATTACCTTATTCTCAAAAAATCTTTAAGATAGATAGATGGACCTAGTATCAACATCTTGTTTTATAGATATAAAAAGCTGAAACTTGGAAAGATTCTTTAACTGAATGACTAGTGAAATTCAACTTAGCCCCAGGAATCTCTGATCCTTGTCCAGTGCTCGTTGGTGCTATACTGTCTTATCAATATAGTACTGAGCTTATTGCTATATATGGCCTCTTCAGAGCACTGTCTTCCTTTTGTCAGAACCACTCTGCAGATTCCTTGGGTTTCCTTCTGGATTATAAACTGCAGTAAGACTGTAACTACTGTAATTGTCAAGAACATTCTCTGCCCTAACCCGTTTGGCTCAGTGGATAGAGCATTGGCCTGTGGTCTGAAAGGTCCCAGGTTCGATTCCGGTCGAGGGCCTGTACCTTGCTTGCGGGCATATTCCCATTAAGAGAGGTGTGCAGGAGGCAGCTGATCAATGTTACTCTCTCATCGATGTTCCTAACTCTCTATTCCTTTCTGTAAAAAAAATCAGTTGAATGTGTTTTTAAAAAAAAAGAACATTCTCTTCAATTTTGGATAATACCATAAATCTTGAAACATTTACATTAGTTTTGCTAATTTTCTTTTTAATATGATTTAAAAAAGAAATCGTCATAAAACTCTACCTTTAAAAAAATAGCTGACCCTCTAGCATCTGCCTTACCCCAAGTTTTTATATCATTTTGCCTCTAAAATCTACAAACTTACTGAAACACCAAAAGAAGTGCAAGAATTTCCATGTGCATGAAAAGAAACCATGACAGAAATGCCTTTCCTAATTGCTTTGTGCCAGAGTAGAAGAGAATGAGAACATTAGTCATTTTTTAGTTGAGAAGTCAAATTTGAAGTGAGTACTTAATGCTAAATATTATTGATTGAAAGAGCACATGAAGGAATCAAATTGATAATTAGAAAAAGAGAAATCTGGTACCAGTGAAGTGGTTCAAAAGGCTTTGCTCTCCTCATAGTAGTCATTTGAATCAGTTGAAAGTTAGAATCTTGAACCTTTTCATGTTATTTTGGATTCCTTTACTCCCTTTGTTCTCCATGTATTTTATCAGATAGTTCCACTAAGTGTTTCTCTGCTGTCATTAGATCACCCTTCTTCTGGTCTCCAGTTTTCACCTGGATTTGAACCTCTCTCTCCTCTGTTTATTTTCCAAGTCTCCCTGTGTTCCTTGCCTTTCTAATTTAATCAATTACCTAGATCACATGTGTCAAACACAAGGCCCATGGGCCAAATCCGTCCCACCAGGCCTTGCAATGTGGCCCGCACCAGCTGTCATCACTGCACTCCGCTGCGTTTCCATCACAATGACAGTTTATGACTGTTCAGTAAACCATTCAGCCCGCGATTTAGGCTGGATTTTAGATTTTGGCCCCTTCTCTGATTGAGTTCGACACCCCTAACCTAGATACTTGAATAACCTTATAGGTATTTGTAGCATCTTACTTCTACATTCAAAAATCTAAGGAAGTGAATCTAAATATAACTGAACATATGAGACTTCCCCCCAGTTTTCCTTATGTTTTAAAACTACCTCACAAAGTCTCTTGTGAGAATAATAATGAGTAAACAGAACATCCAGGGTCTTCAGTCACCATGCCTTTACAATTCTTGATAAGTATCCTGTGTTCTGCTGCTACTTGTCTTTTCCAAAAGTCCTTCATCTGTCATAAAAATAGATTTACTCTTTACTCATTCTCTGCTCATCTCTTGTTTATTTCTAGACTTTCTGAGGTCTGGAGTTCTTTTCCTTATTTTGCATTATTTTTCTTTATAGAACTTATCACTGCCTGATATCTGTCTGTCTGTCTGCACATCCATCCATCCATCCATCCACCCATCCAATCTATCAAGAGACCCTGATACTAGATTGTAAGCCTTTTAGAGGCAGGCTTCTAGGTGGCTTGTTCTGTGTCCCTGGTTCCTAAATAGTACCCAGGTTTTGAATATTATTTGTCAAACAAGTAGATCTGATTGAAAAACAACCTTTCCATCATATAAATTACTATTTTCATTCACTTATAACCATTGAAAATATAGCAGTGTTTAAAATTGCTTTAACTTATTTGGCTAATAGCTACTATAAGCTAAAATGTTATATAACTATCACCTGAGGAATAAAGATACCTTTAATTTCATGATTAAATTTTTTTTTTAAATATTTTATTGATTTTTGTACAGAGAGGAAGGGAGAGAGATAGAGAGTCAGAAACATCGATGAGAGAGAAACATTGACCAGCTGCCTCTTGCACACCCCCCACTGGGGATGTGCCCGCAACCAAGGTACATGCCCTTGACCAAAATCAAACTCGGGACCCTTCAGTCCCCAAGCCGACGCTCTATCCATTGAGCCAAATCGGTTTTGGCTAATTTCATGATTAAATATTTTTAATAATTTTAAAATTAAACTGTCTTTAGAGTAGGTGAGGTTTTCTCATACATAAGTTATTAATGATTTTTAGCCAGTTCCTTGGATTAATTTTGTCCATTCAGTGCTAGCTAGAACCAACATAATTTTTTCTTAATGAATTACTTTTTCGTTTTTCTCATTTTGATCCATTTTTGCAATTAGATTCAAAATTCTTTGTACATTATAAAATAAATGGTAGTTTGCATATAAAATGAAATCCCATCAAAGTAATATTTTTTTAACCAAATCTCACTTCTATAGCTATTACCAAAAATCTTTCCCTGTTTCTTGAAATGTTTTAGAAGCCATTCCTTGCCTAGGGAATAACTTACAGCTCCTGTTTTCTTGCTTACTTACCCTTTAAATCAAATTAATATTTTTGAGAGTACTTTGGCCCTCCCAGGTATATTTATCTTCTTGCTATTTATTTAGTAAGCATTCCAAACATTGTATTTTGTGATTTACATTATTATCTAAGTTACTCTTAAGTGCTGTGTTAGTGCTTGCTAGTGAGAAAGTTCTGAGCTTTAGGAAATTGTCTTTATTATAACTTTAATTTAATAGGCAACACTGTATTATTGAAATTATGCCTTTCTGTACACTCAGCCCTTTCTGTCCCCATTTTTTATGCTGGCTTATTCTTTATTTTTCATATATTTTATGGTAACAGCTAGTTGCTTAAAGAAGGGTATTAATATTAAGTTCTTCTATTTCATGCCTAACATTGTGCTTTTTAAAAAGATAAAGTACATTAGTGAATCTTCCCAGGTGTTTGACTACATGGAAAATACTAGATCTCTGTAGTTAAAGCTTTCCCCCCCTCTTTTCTTCCTCACAGTTTTGCTCACTTTTTGATTGGCAGTTGCAGGTTACTAGTGGGTCTGTTTATTAACTTGGAGAGAATGGGGATTCTTACACCTTCTCTTCCTGGTGCTTAGTTTTAGTTTCTTTTGAAAGTCTCTATGATGTGAAGTAACACGTTTAAGAGGAAAGCTTATAAGGCAGTATAGATGTTGAAGATCCTTGCAGGGGAGGGTTGTTGTGCTGATTATATTCTTATCCCTTACTTGTATGAGGAATCACAGTGATTCCTCATCAGTCTGTTTTCCAAATGCAGTGTGAAAACCATAGAGTGTTAGATTTGGTCATTTAATTTTTAAAATCACATTAAAAGTTTTATACGTTTCTTGATTAGTATTGGGTGTTTTTTAATGGGAGATTGCCAGTTTTGTTTATGGAAGATAAGGCTAAAAATATAAAATGGTGGTTGTGTTTTTGTTTGTACTAGCCAATTTTAAGTAAGTCTGCCATCAGTTAAGTGTCTTAAAAGGAAACAATGGTTTGTTGTACTCACTTTTTACCCTTCTAAATAGGGGTACTGTTGTTGGCTTTAGATATTGGAATAATTTGAGTCTTACAAAAAATGACCATTCTAATGACTTTCTTGTGTGAAGAACTAATGGCTGTCTTTGCTTTCAGGCTAGTTTTGTGAGGTTCTCCCCCACTTTCGTGGTGTGTTAATTGTGGGTGTTGGCAGTGCCTCTAATGTCAGCTGATCTGCCCAGCTGTGTTTCTGTGAAGGTCTTTTGCTCTGTTAGCAGTGAGTTGTGCTCATTCTGCCTTACCTAGTAGAAGATAGCATGAGGGAATTTACTTTAAGATTGGAATTTAGTGTCATAGCTGAGAATGGGCCTGGAGTCCCCAGCGTACACCACAGTTAATCAAAGCTAAAATTTGAGGAGTCCCAGTTAGTGATCACTGTAGTTAATAAGACAACCTATTAGAATAAGACCATTTTAATGGTGGTTTTGCTGAGGATGTTTTTTCTAAAAGCTAAAAAACCAAAATGTATTTGTAAAATCTTGGGTGACTGTGAAGTTATACAAAATCTTCATGATGAACATGATGACCATGTAGAGCATTTTGTGTGTAGAAAGCAAAGGGCTATACTGACTGTGTAACATTTAGTAGAGAAGTCTCTTTTTAGAAGTTTTCCAGTATGTTAAATACAGCCATAAATTCTGGCTGAGTTGAAATTAATTGGGATTGCAGATTTTTGAGAGGAAACAAAGCACCAACCTTGGAATCAGCAGATCTGCATTTGTGTCTGTTATTAGTGTCCTGGGGATGCTGAAACAAAGTGTACCACAAACTCGATGGCCTAAAACAACAGAAATTTATTCTTTCACGTTCTGTGAGGTTAGAAGTCCAAAAACAAGGGCCATACTTTCGAAAGAGGATCCTTTCTTTTCTCTTCCAGCTTTCGGTAGCCCCAGTTATTCCTTGGTTTATAGCTGAAACACTTCAAACCTCTGCCTCTGTCAGTTGGACTAGGTGACCTCTAAGATCACTTTCCCCTCCCAGAGTGTACACATCAGCTCCACCCTGTCTAGGTATCAGGCAGGAGCCAACTCTATGCAAATAGCGTGAACACTGAAGATAGGACTTTGCATGTCCTGCGAAGAATGAAGGAAAGACTGTGCAGCTCGATATGTTGGGTCTGGACTAGGTCAAAGTTTGCACAGCTTTTGACAGACAGACTGGACACAGGAAGCCATCTTCCCTCATAAACAACAGCAGCACAATTATGAACTTCCACTCTTCGATGCACATCCTATATAATAAAAGGGTGATAAGCAAATCAAGCTAACGGCAGAAGGACCGGTTATGACATGCACTGACCATCAGGGGGCAGACGTTCAATGCAGGAGCTTCCCCCTGGTGGTCAGTGCACTCCCACAGGGGGAGTGCCACTCACTCAGCCAGAAGCCAGGCTCATGGCTGGCAAGCACAGCTGCAGTGGCAGGAACCTCTCCCATCTCCGAGGCAGCACTAAGGACCCCTCGGGGGATGTTCAACTGCCAGCGGGGAACAGGCCTAAGCTGGCAGTCAAACATCCCCCAAGGGGTCCTGGGCTGGGAGAGGACGTAGGCCAGGCTGAGGGATCACCCCCAGTACATGAGGGATCACTCCCCAGTACATGAATATCATGCACCGGGCCTCTAGTATAGCATAAAAATCTTAACCGTGGGTCAGCTTGTATCGACCTTTTTTGATAAAGACTTTCTTCCTTTGGAATTTCAGAAACAAAATTTGTTTTCTGAAAAACACATGCCATTGGATGCCCTTTAGCTTGACATGTGACTGAAATTTTTGTTTGAATTTCATTTTCTACAAAGGCTGCCTTTATATTTAAAGTTGACAAACCAAAAACCACTTCTTTCATTACATTTTCTGCTTTCATGTTCTGTCATTCTGAGCTCTTTTTTTCTTTCCCTCTCTCTGTCTTCTTCCCCCCAGCTGTCGGCAGCATCCAGTCCCTCCAGTCACAGTCCTCACAGAGCTTCAGGAAAGGACCCTTTTGCAGAGTTCTCTTTGGAGGATTTCTTATAAGTCACTTTAGGTATTGCTGCTTGTTGGGGGAGATGGGGACTTAAGTACTTAAAAAGTTTATCAAACATGAAGCACCATTCACTCTTCTTAATTATTTAAAGAACTCTAGATTCCCTCTCTTCCTTCTCTTCCTATATTTTTTAGGTGAAGAGTAAAAATAGATCAAGATAGGACAGAAGGGACAAATAACTTTTGGAAAATATCTTGAATATGTTAGGAGGTATGAAATCAAAAGACCATTTCTCATGTTTATATGTAAGCATCCACTTCTCACATCAGGTGATGAGAACAAATACCACCCTTTAAAAAAAGAAAAATAGAGAACAACACCGTTTTTACACATCGGCTCAGAGCTTGATTGGGAGCATCGTTGGTTTAACATTATGGCCAGGATTAGTGTGAAGAATTCATTTTAACTGTTTCTTTAAAGGGCCATATTTTTATGTATTCCTTTTCATCTAAAAATAGTAACACCCCCCCCCCCAAAAAAAAAAGCACACACACAACAACAACTTATATTAGTACTAGAGAACCAATGCACAAAATTCGTAGAAGGGGCTCAGCCCTTGCGGCCCCTCCCACTCCCACTGGTCATTCCAGAAGGTCGTTCCGCTGTCTGGTCTAATTAGCATATTAGCTCTTTATTATATAGATTATTTACTTTTGTTAAGGGCAAGTGAATGCTTGGGGCCTTTTTGATAAA